GGTACCCAGACTGGACATGCCCGTGCCCATGGAGCACCAGGTGGAGCTGATCCTGTGCCCCGGGAAGGCTGCTCTCTGCCGAGTGTTCCGTCCTGTCCACAGCTACCGCGGGAATAGGAAAGGACTTGGAACAAGCAAGGAGCTCGCCCTTCAAATGGCTCCTTCCACCAGAAGCAGGGATGCCCAGCTCCGGGGGTGGGTGGGGGGCCCTTCGTCCTCAGCACTGATTCATTGGCCCATGACTTTCATGCTGAGGTCTGCATATGCTGGACTTGTGACTCAGAGGTTTAAAAAAACACTTTAAAATGACGTGCATGCCGAGATGGGCACCTGGGCCAGCCACTGTGCTGAAGGTCATCGTGTCCTTCAGAACATCCCCCCCACCCCTCCGGCCCCAGGGAGCACCGTCCTGACCTGCCCCACCCTCGGGGACCCAGGCACACCTGTCAGGCAGTTTTCAGGCCCCTGCAGGTCATGTACATCAAAGTGCCAGCAGGAACGTCCATTCCTTTGGAAGCCAGGTGGGGCCCTGGGGATGAAGACCAGCTGCCACGCCGTGGGCTGTGGGCCGTGAGACATGGGTCATGTGCTGTGGGCTGTGAGCCATGAGCCGTGGGCCTTGGGCTGTGAGTTGTGGGCCATGGGCTTTGGGCCATGAGCTGTGGGCCGTGAGCTGTGAGCCCTGGGCCATGGGCTGTGTACATGCACGAGTCCACCCTCCAGGAACCGGAGGGGCTGTGGGGCCGGCTACCCCGTGCTGCCCCAGGGGTCTCCACATGGCCCCCGAGCTCCTGTGACTGCCCTGCCAACAGTGCTCACACCCCACTTGCCCGGTGTCTCCTATGGCCGTGGGCACAGGAGGTCCCTCTAGGCCCGTCCACATGGGGCATGTGGCCGGGGGTGAGAACAGCACTCTCGCTCCTCCAGAGAGACACACACAGGCCCTGCTCCACAAACGTGACCCCAGACTTCCCGAATGCTCACAATGCAGACGGAACCGCGCATGTGCCCTTGAACCCATCACTGTCCGGGCAGGGGCTGACTCCCAACCTCCTGAAGGAGAATAACCAAGGCTTTGCCGCCCCACCCTCTCAGTGCCCTCACTGTCTCCTGGCCTCGCTCCCGTCGTTCAGTGGTCCAAGCCCATGGCGACCTCCTGGGATATGTGCCTTCTAACATCTCAACTGCAATTTGGGAAAACCATTAAGAGCCCAGGAAATGGACTGTGAGGGCAAGTCCAGGGGGTGGCATGCCAGAGCACCTTCATAGGAGTAGGCCCCTCGGCCAGGCCTGAGGTGACAACCCTACCCTTCCCCCAATCCTACGGCTGCCCAGTCATGTGACCGAGGAGGGGGTGCCACACGCTCGGAGTCAACAGCCTCACTCTGGTCTGCCTCTGCAGGCTGTGGCCTGAGTGGGTGCACCTCTGCCGTCCCTGTCTTCCCTCCCGTTTTCCAATGAGAGAGCACCTACTGTGTGCTGAGCACCTGCTGTGTGCTAAGCACCTGCTGCTCAGCACAGAGATGGGGAGCAGCTGAGTGCTCAGCTCCCCAGAAGCCATAGGTCTGGACTGGAGGGGGTTCCCCAGCTGCTGGTCACTGTGGCTGTGGCTGTGGCTCTGGCTGTGCCAGGTCGTAACCCCAGCTGTGTGGCCACCCCGGAGCACAGATCCTCGAGTGGGCCAGGCTGGGTGGGGTCGGTGCCCCTTGGGGGCTGGTTCCTGTCCTGCAGCAGCACAGCAGAGGCTCCCTCCAAACCTTCATCTCAGCCCCAGAGCTAGGAACAGGGCCCCCCATTACCCACCCAGGGGTGGGTGCCCCAGTGGCCCTGGGACGGCCATCTGCCCACAGATTAAAATCTCTTAAAGCCTTAGTGGGCTTCATTGGTCGGTTTCTCCATCAGGAATTAGTTCTTCGCCTGGGTGGTGGGCCTGGCACACGTTCTTCCCCCCACCCCTCCAGGGTCATGTACAAGAGCCGGCTGAAGGGCAGCCCCGGCCCTCATGTCCTGGGCAGGAAGGTGGCCTCCTGCTCGGCTGCTCGGCCACGGGGTGGGGAGCGCTTCTGGGGGACCTTGCATGCCCATGGAGGGCATGGCCCCTGATGTTCTCGTGCCCTGGTCATGCATGTGGATGGCGGCTACACAGGCACAATCCTGTGGCTCAGACCTCAGAAAAACCACAGCACCTAACCTGTGACCTACCCCATGACCTTCCCAGGTTCCCCATGACCCAGGCACCGTGTGGCTTTAGCTGTAACCCTGTGAGATGGAGAAGCAGTCCCCCGCCCCAGAGGGGCTGTTATTAAGAAACGAAAAATAGGAACAGGTGTTGGGGAGGATGTGGGGACATTGGATCCCTGCACACTATTGGCCGGAACACAAACAGGTGCAGCCACCCAGGAAAACACTGTGGAGGCTCCTCTAAAAATTTGAGAGAGAATTACCCCACGACCCAGTAATCCCACTTCTGGGCATTCACCCCAAAGAGTGGAGAGCAGGGACTCACGTAGATATTTGCTCGCCTATGTTCATAGCAGCCAGGAGGGAGAGACAACACGCGTGTCCACTGACCCATGCATCCATTGCATACAGAGTATTACTCAGTATTATGCATCCTGACACCTGCTACCACATGAATGAACCCTGAGGACATGACACTGAGATAAGCCAGCCACACGGAGATGAATGCTGTGACTCCGGGTCTGCTGTCAGACCCATTGAGGCAGAGAGCAGAGGGTGGGGGCACCTGGGGCGGGTAGGGGGCCGTACTTAGTGTCTTCAGGTGGGACAGTGGAAGGTTCTGGGGGTGATGGTTGTGGTGGTGGCACGACTGTGGACGTGCCTCATGCTACACTCAGAGATGGCTGAGAGCACAGGTTTCATGTTACATGTTTTACCACAACAAAGAGACAGGAAGGGATAGGGTCATGGTGGCTGACAGGGTGGGGAGGCTGGGAGCTCGGTTCTTCCGTCTGAGGCTCTCCTGGGTTTGGAGCTCCAGGCCCCCCGATGCATTCCTGGGGTGGTAGGTCAGACCCTCTGGGGGATTCATGTCAGCAGCATGAGCCATGGGCCCAGGAGGCCACACCAGATGCCTTAATGGGAAAGCAGGGTGGCCAGCCACTCAGCAGTCTGTGCTTGTTTCCTCACTGTGACCCACAGGGAGCTATTCAGACTGTCCTCCCCAGAGAGTTTGGGAGGGTTAGAGAATCAACCTGTGTGACCTTCATGCCATCTCTGACCTGCCCTTTTGCCCCCTTTCCGGCCAGACATTGGCCAAGGGAATGGGGACCCACTGCCTCTCTCAAGCCTCCACATCTCGGAGCTGTGAGGATGCTGGGGGGAGGGCCTTGAGCATCCTGTGCCCTGGAGATCATCAGCGGGGAGGCGGGGAGCTTGCACCTGGACCCAGGAGGTCCTGTCCCCTGCCCCCGGGGAAGCTGAACCCCAGGCCCCACAACAGAACTGCACGGGGTGTGGGTGAGGCTGCTTTTGGACTTGGAGAACAGAGTCCGCTCTGACCCCCGTGGTGTCATGGGGCTTGAGGTTCCCCCCCAGCTGCTACTCTCAGGAAAGGGTTGGATAGCCCCCATCTCCCTGAGGGCTGCATGCACGTCCTCAGGGCTCCCTCGGCTGCTGGTGAGCTGCTGGGTGAAGGGGAAGGGTTCTGGACCTGGGACGGGCAGTGACGTGGAGGAGGGCCTCAGAGTGCTCCCAGCGCCCTCAGCCCTGGGACCCAGGAGAGAGGCAGGCTCGTCAGGGGTCATGGGTCTCCACAGAGGCTGTGGCCCTTTGTAACATGTAACATGTAAGCCATCCATCCGTCCATCCTCCGTCAGTCCGTCCATTCATCTACCCGTCTGTCCATCCGTCCATCTATTCATCCATCTGTCCATCTGTCTGTCTGTCCATCCATCCATACCTCCGTCCATCCAATCATCTGTCAGTCCATCTCTGTCCATTCATCCATCTGTTCATCCATCCAACCAATCATCTATCTCTCCATCCATCTGTCCATCCAATCATCTCTGTCTGTCCATCCATCCATCCATCCATCCATCCATCCATCCATCCATCTGTCCATCCATCCATCTGTCCATCTATCCAATCTGTCAGTCCATCCACCCATCCGTCTGTCCATCCATCCAACCATCCATCCATCTGTCCATCCAATCATCTATCCGTCCATCCATCTCTCCGTCCATCCAGTCAGTTGGCATTTGCATGGCAGACACAGCAGTGGACACAACCACAGCTTCCACTGCAGGGAGATGTTGCGTCATGTGCAGAGTGTGTGTCTGTCCACGTAGCCTCATGCTGTGGGTCCTGTGCTTGCTGTGCTTCACAGCAGGCCAGCCATTCACACGAGATCCTCGGCATTTGGTTGTGACACAAGCTGAGCCCACAAAACCTCAGTGGCTCGTGACATTCTGCCCCCAACCCTCCGGGATCACCCCAGCCTCCTTCCCCGCTTTCTGAAGCATGTCCTCATGGACCCCACTGCAGCCAGAGTGACGCACAACCCGTCCCTTGCTCATCAGCTGATGGGGTCCCCAGCATGAGAAGAACCGTTTCTGGGTTACGTGTGCTGGAAGGAGCCCCCCTGTGTCCTGGGTTCTGTCTGCACCCCGGTGGGAAGCACCTGTCTGTCCCCTAAGCCCAACAGCATTTGATGGTGGCACCATGCGCCCTTCCTCTTTCCTCTACTTGGTAACCAGCCAGGCCTTGGCACACAGCACCTGGATCCTTGCCATTTGCCCATGTAGACGAGGGCTCCAGGCAGGTGGCGGGGCCTCCCTTGTTTACGGGGCAGGGGTGACAGGCAGCAGTGAGGCTCAGGTGACATCGGGCAGCAGGCGGCACCCAGTGAGCACTTGGCAGTTCAAAGATCACCTTCATGTTTGTTTACCACTGACCCGCACAAACACACGGTGCTGGTGTGTGAGCACAAGCAGGCTTCCCTTGTCTCCACAGTATCGTCGGTGAGCATGGGGCGGCCACCCAGGGCCCACTTCCTCAGGGTGAGCACCTCCTGGGGTAGCTCACGCTTCATGCCTTTGCTTGAGTGCTTCTGCACATACACGACTGGGATGACCCCTCACAGGATGTGTGCAGGGAGTCTGTGTAGGCTTCCGTGTACCCGCCCGGGAGCACCGATGGCGCCAAGTGGGTACGTAAGCCAGGCTCACCAGCTCCTCCAACTCAAGATAAGTCCTCCTTCCGCTCTCGCACACTAGCGCTCTGCTCCGTCCGTTCTGTGTCTGGGACTGAGAAGTTCCTCACCCTTGCAGATTCCAGTTCCTTCTAGGAGTAGAAGGGGGTGGAGGGAGTGGCGGCGAGCACGGTGCCCCCATGCCTAAACAGCGGCTTCCAGCCATGGGTCCCTGGGCCTTGGCCATGCTGTAAGTGGGAAGGTGGGTGGACTTGGCAAGCGGGCTCCACGGAGGGGCGTCCAGGACTCGACAACACGGAGGGCGAGCCACGTGCCATCCCTGCCGGCCCGGAACAGGATGGCTCTGGCAACCACGTGTGGCAGCGAGGCAGCCAGTCCTGCCCTCGCCAAAGGTGTACCACTGTGTATGTGCCCTCGTTTAACAAACCAACAACAAAAAGACCTCATGCGTGAGGCTCCTGCCTACATTTTTAAGGATTTGTATTTAAATTTCCATTAGTTCATATGCGGTGTCGTGTTGATTTCGGGTGTACAATAGTGAGTCAGCTCTTCCTTATACACCACCCAGCGCGTGACACAGCAGGTGCCCCCCTCCATCCCTACCCCCCTCCATCCCTGACCCCCCACCACCTTCCATCTGCACCCCTTCCATCTCCCCTCCATCCCCACCCCCCCTGCATCCCTGATCCCCCCTTTCCCCTCCCCTCTGGTGTCAGCAGTGTGTTCTCCACAGTTAGGAGTCTGTTTCTTGGCTTCTTTCTCTCTCTTCTGTTTCCCCCTTTGCTCATCTGTTCTATTCCTTAAATTCCACATGAGTAGAATCATCTGGTAATTGTCCTTCTCTCAGTGACGTATTTCAGTGAGCATGAGACCCTCTAGGTCCATCCACATCACTGCAACCAGCAAGATCTCACTCCTTTTGATGGCTGCGTAGTACTCCACGCTGTGTCCCACCTGTTCTCTCTCTGCTCATCTGTTGGGGGCACCTGGGCTGCGTCTGTACCTTGGCTGTGGCAGACCACGTGGCCCTACATGTGGGCACACCTGTCTGGCTGCTGGCTATGGCCTCTGTGTGCGGATCTGTACGACTTCTCTGAACCCTCAGAACCACAAGTCCAGCCCCTGGATGTGTGAGGAAAACAAGCCCTGCTAGTTCATTTTGCAGTAAATAAATTGTCATCAGCTCCCCTGAGCAGCTCATCTGCATTTATCTGCACCTCTTAGCACATCTACTCAGGCACGGCCTGCACATGCAGAGCGCACATGTGCTGCCTTCATCAGGACCCAGTGGGTGACCCCAGCAGGTGACCCCAGCATGGTGACAGCATGGTTCTGGCCTGGACACACTCTGTCCCTGGCACATGGCACCTGCGCCCCTCAGTTTAGTGGGGTCATCTTCCCAGGTGATGTGACCCACACACGCAGCACTCTCTTGGGCTCATGGGGAGCCACAGAGGGCAATGAGCCACAGAGGGTGGCTACCCTGTCCCAGCCCCGGCTGCACCCCTAATGTTTCAGTCAAGAGAAAAGCCACTAATAAAAAAAAATAATCACTTGGAAATGGTACGTACTGATCCCTTTAACAATCTAAACAATCTAAAAACACTTTGATTCATCTTGTTCTTGCTCATTCTATCAAGGGGGGCGTTTTTGCCTTAGTGGTGGTCTCTTCTCCGGTAAACAAGGAGACGTGGCTGGAGACGCTTCCTGGCACCCACAGTCTGATGCCACCTACCGAGGGTCCAGGGAATAAAGCAGGCACTCACTGGAAGGGATCGCTCAGCTCGCCCAACGCGCATGTCTGCGACTCAGACATCTCCCGGCATCCCGGCCCCATCTGTCAAGGCACAATTACTGTCACCACTGCATGGTGCCACTGGGTGCGAGGTTACGTGTGCCAGTCAGCACACAAGAAATGGCCATAATGTTGGCATAATTTTTCACGACCGTCTACATTAACCGCAGCTCGCGGGAGGAAGTTTGCCCATGCCCCGTCATCGTCATGACAACACTTTGAAAGCTCGCCTGCCCAGTGTCCACCCGAGAGGAGAGGCTGAATGTCCTCATTATTCTGCCTCCCGCAGGCCCTGCCCGTGCCAAGAGGGAGACGCTGTGCACGGGCCGGTGATTTATCCCCTGCGATCCCTCTTGACAGCCTGGTATGGTGTCTGGGCTTAAGGCACTGCTCTGATTTCACAGTTTAATTACTGCTAATCTGAAGGGGGGGGGGCAGTGCTAATGAGCTGCCAGCAATCCGAGCAACAATGGTGCCACTCGCCCTGTCGGGCCCCCAGCCATCCTTTTCTCCTGCAACCCCACCCCCAGCCACTCTGCTCAGGTCCCAGAAAGCTGCTTGTGTTGGTTTTGAGGTGTAATGGGTGACGCAGCAGCTGCGGAGACGTGAATGTCAGAAAACTAAACGCAAACGTGCATCCTGACCACGTCGAGGGCATGCTTACGAGTGCAGGCATCCAGGACATTTGCTCCTACAAGCTCCCCAAGGGGCCACGTGGGTCAGGGGGGTTCTGGGTACACCCTGAGGCTTCAGCAGAGGTCGGACAGAAGCAGGGCCTAGTCACATGTAGACACCGCTGCGGCTGGCATCTCCCCCCGAGCAGGGGGTAGACAGTGGCCGTTTGTTGAGTGAATAAACACCACTCATGGTCTTCATGCTGCCCTAGTTAACGCCCTGGCCAGGAAACATTACAGGCATGATGCATACCCAATGGCCAACTCCTCCAGCGGTCACCAACGTTAGGAGGCTTACTTACATACAGTTATCTGTGCACTAGTATTTGTTTATATCTTATTCTAAAAATATCACTTTCATGAATACATCCCATATATTGGAAAAGCATGTAATTAAAATAAATCAGGTCTGGGGGAAACATTGATAAAAATAAGAAAGAAGGAGTTCCAGTGATTGCTTAGGCTGTGCACCCATCCCACGCAGCTGCCAAACCCTGGGCTGAGAACTTGAGCTTGAGCTCATGGCCAACATGATGAACCATGGCGCACGAGTCACAAGGTCTGGAGGAAATGTGCTCATCCCAGCTGTGATTCAGCGAGATCTCAGAGGCAGGCTCGTTTTCTTGAAGGCCCGTCAAAGGAGTTGGTGGGAAGGGAGGGGGCGGCGTCGCCATGATCGCAGGGGCCACAGGCTGACCGTGGGCGGGCCCCAGAGGCCGGCAGGCCCCCATCGGCTGCAGACACATCCTCCACCAGGTGAGCTGCACGGGGATCTCATGCAGACTGTGGCCTCGGTGGGTGCCTACTTTGGGGAAACGTCCTGAGTCCCAAGCAACCCATCCTTTAGGCATGGAGCTCTGGCACCCTTGATGCTATTTGTCTAACCCATGAACTGAATTTCAGAGACATCCTGGAGCTGTGCTTGGCCTTCGAGCAGCCAGTCTGCAGAGAGAACTCGAGGCTTCTGCTGGCTCACGTGGATCTGTCACAGAACGCATCTTGTCGTCACCGCCAACGTGGTAATGCTAATTAAGTATCCTTAACAGCAATATGGAGAGGAACCACATTTTCAATTAAGCATCTTCTGTGCTGAAGGAACAGCAGCTTTCCTCTTGCTCTGTCTGTTGAGCAGTGAAGTTCTGTGCTACCAGGCTCCGGGCTCCCCAAGAACGTGGGAATCATGGATGTGGGCAGCTCATTTCTCTCATTTTCTTTCACAGGAACCTCGAGCCTTGGGAGGTGGGACTCTCTCCTCCAGGGACACGCTTTTCGTACAAGGTTGCAAACCCTGGGGGTGGAGGAGGTGCCTTTGGACAACAGGGGTTCTCTGGAACCGCTCCTCCTGCCCTCCACGGGCTACCCCAGAGCCACCACACCAGACTGATATGTGTGGGGACAGCTGGCAGCCACCCCGATCCCGCGGCCACCCTAACCTGGTGGCCACCCTGACCCCATAGACACCCTGACCCCGTGGCCACCCCAACCCCATGGCCCAGCTGTATCGGCGTTGCTGGGCGAAGGCAGAGGCGACTCATCCCAACTCTCCCACCCCAAGCGGGACCTCTGTCCTCGCCAAGTAGCCACTGAGTCCCAGAAGTGCTGCACCCCCAGGCTCCGGGCCTCGAGAGGATGAAGGGTGGACCTGGACACCTGTTCCTGGACGCTCCTACCACCCTGGCAGGGAGTCCAGGCAGCTGCAGAGACAGCCGCCAGCCAGCCATGTAGACAGGCCACCCTGCAGGTGAGCCCTCCAGCCCCGGCCGCACATGAGGAGCCATCCCCACCATCCCCGTGGAAACATCAGCTCTACAAGCGGCCCCTGAGCTTCAGGACCACCTGTCCGGCACCAGCAGATGCACTATGGGGACACGGCCTCCACCTCCCCGGCTCAGTGCTCCACCTGCACTACCCAGGATCCCATGGCGGGTCCAGCCCTCCCACTGGCCTGTGGCACCGCATCTTCCCTTCCTGCCCAGCTCCATCGGGCCTACTAGAGCCCCACAGCCTCGTGCTGCTTGGGGGCTCACGCTGAGCAAGATGTGGGCAGCCCTCCAGGAGCTCACAGCTGCAGGGAAGAGACATGGCAGGAGGCCCATCATGCGGCCAAGGTCAGGGTAGAGGCAGAGACGGAGAGAGAGATGGAGGGAGAGACGGAGAGAGAGACAGTGAGAGACAGAGATGGAGGGAGACAGAGAGAGAGAGAGACAGAGACACAGAGGGAGAGATAGAGGGAGAAAGAGAAACAGAATGGAATTCCCTGGAGACTCATTCCATTCCCTGGAATGGAGATTCAAGAAGGCTTTGTGTCTTGGAAAGAAGTAGGGTCTAGGGAGACAGAATAGTAATGATGGTGTGAGGCCTAGATGCCCCCGCCTGCATGCAGCACCCATGGGGGGTCACAATGCTCTCATGATGCAGTCTGTCCCCACATCCCCAGCCTGGATGAGGAGATGAGGCCTGGAGCCCGCAGGTACATCTGCTGATCCCCCACTCCCCACCCCACCAGCCCGGGTGCCCGGGAGGATGAGGTCTGTGAGGCTCTGGGGCAGGAGCAGCCAGTGTGTGTGTATAGGTGGAGGGCCCAGCCAGTGGAAGGTCCTGCTCTGCCCATGGGGTGGGGGTGGGGCTGCTGTACAAGGCCCCCCCTTCCCCCCGCCCCGTGCTGCCACCATGCTCCCTGGGCTCTGCGCTGTAGGCTCCATGGTCTGTCCCCACGGATGGCCACGCTCAGACCTCCCGCGGCCATAGCCTGACATGCCCACCCTCCTGAGCATATCTGTATTTTAAAAGAGAACAGTGTGCTTGAAACAGAACCTTCTGGGTGGCTGTGGTGGCCGGGCCCCAAGAGAGTGGAGAAACGGGACACATGATGTTGGGCAGCAGAGCCGCCAAGCACCAGGCTGTGGTGTCTAGAGCGCTCATGGCCGGGGGTCCTGGGACTGTGGGCTGGAGGGAGGTCAGAAGCTAAGACCAGCAGGATGCTCGCGTTAGCTCGCTGCAGTGGCGATGTGCTCCCTCGAGGAGGAGCAGGTGGAGATGAAGAGCACAGGAGCCAGAAAGCAGCACAGGTCTCCCCACCAGGTCTCCCAGGACTGGCTGACCATCTCTTCAGATGAATCTGTGAATCTCTGGCTGCTCCCTTGCATCACCTGCTGGAACTTCCTCGTCTGGTCTCCACTCTCTGGCCAGGTACGTTTGAGGCCCGTGCATTTCAGGGGGGCAGCGTGGCCCCCACCAAGCCAGCCCCCAACCTGGGGACCTGCATCACAGGCCGCAGGTTGGAGGTCACAGAGCCGACGCCAGTTGAGACTCAGCCGGAGGCTCCGTGCAGGACGTCGGGTCTTCCTGGCAATTCCTGGTGAGGCCTCTGTCTGGTGTTTCTAGCAGAACAAAAACAGGCCCTGGATTCCCTCTTTTCTGGCTCTTGGGTCTTCAGAACGAACAGCTCCTGGTCACGCTCCAGGATGGTCTTCCTGGTGTCCGGGGTGGACGGCAGCGGCATGAGCAGGTACGAGGGACAGAGCACAGTCTGCAGAAGCTCTGAGGAGTCGTGAGCAAGGCAGACAGGTGGCTCCTGCTTCCCCAAGGGGATGCTGTGTCTCAGAAAGCTGGGGGCCTGAGGCATCCTGGGTGGCTCAGTGGTTTAGCTCCTGCCTTCAGTGCAGGGAGTAATTCTGGAGACCGAGGATCAAGTCCCACATCTGGTTCCCTGCATGGAGCCTGTTCTCCCTCTGCCTGTGTCTCTGCCTCTCTCTCTGTCTCTCATGAATAAATTAAAAAAAAAAAAAGCTGGGGGCCTGGAGCCATAGGTCCTGCCCCTGCCCAACAGCCCACTCGGGCCCTGCTCCCGTCCCCACCCCCGCATTGTCCACGTTGTCTCTCAGAGGACAGGGCATCTGCTCGCCACAGGAGGGGGCTGCAGCAGTTGGGCATCCTCACCCGGTGCCGCCGGCGTCATCCTCAACTAGCAGCTCCTGGTAGGCGGAGGCCATGTGCGTCCTGCCCCTGTGACGGTAGCAGCCATGACTGGGCTGGTCTGGGCAAAAGTCGGCGGCGGAAGACCTTGTAACCCCAACCCAGAGTTCCACGCAGCTCTTCCTAAGGACCACATGGGGCGCTGGCGACTTGTTTTCTCATTTATGCCTCACGTTATTCCAGAAAGACGCATACAATACAGGAAAGTAGGACCCATGAAACTGGGTGAGGTGAAAATCAAACAACAAAGACAAGCAGGGACATGAGCAGCTACACAACATAACTACGCCTGTATTTTAAAAAGAACCACCCCAGGGGTCCCTGGGACCTCACTGGCGAGCCAAAAGGAGGCAGCAGGTCACGGCTTGCTGGCCACCCATAGCGGAGTAGCTCAGCCCTGTGGGTGCCCTCAAGACCTGGGCACATGCCTCAGAGGTGCGGGAGCCGGGCCCAGGGGTGCGCCAGGGGTCAGCTGGGTTTGCTCAGGCTCCCTTGCATCAGTGTGACTCTGCTCAGCCAGATGCCACCAGAGCTCCAGGTGGGGTGACTTCAGCAGGACGGGGCCCCGTGGCCTCCAGGTCAGTGCCCAGCCTGGCGTTGGGGGCTCTGTGTCGGACACGGGGTGCACACGGGGTGCCCAACACCCCAGCTGTGGAAGCCGGCCTGCGTCAGGAGAAATTGCCGAGGCTGAGATGTCGCAGAGGAGGTGGGCTGGCTGGACCTTGGCACAGGCAGGCATCCTTGGGACGGGTGGGTTGGGGGACAGGTCTTCTGGGAGGTGAGCAGCCCGGCTGACGGGGGCATTGTGGGCTGTGAGAGCCAACGGCCCTCCATGTAGCTGCCCAATACCGGGCTGTGCTTCATGGGCACCTGAGGGTCTCTGGAAGCTGTGATCAGAGGCGGCTCAGTGAAAACCGAGGTGGGGACCCTGAGGGGGTGACGGCGGCACTCTCTCACACGCCAGAGCCCCTTGGGCCTGGAGGGATGCCCCACGAAAACAGAAACGGCCTCTGCATGCTTCCATTTGTCAGGACAGCGACATCCTAGCTCATCCCACTTGGGGCAGGAACACCACTCCAAGGGGCTGAGTGGTGTCGGCCGCTCCTCTGCGCTGGTGGCTGCCGGGAGTGGGAGACTCGAGGTGTAAAATTCAGAGGATTTCACCTCCAGCAGAACCTCTGAGCTGTTTGCTTCTGCATGGACACCACCTTGTCCACCACGGGGATGCAACAGGCAGAGAAGGTACAATGCCCAAGACACGTGGCCCTAGGAGCTGGCCGGGTTCTGGGGGCACGGGTGATGGCTGATGGTGGCCCCATTTCCAGGACAGCTCCAGTGCCCAGACCAGAGAGTCCAGCAGCCCCAGGGACGGAGGGCACGCTGGGTTTGCAGGACGTTAGTATGGGACGGACTCTCAGCTTGTCCCGCTTTCCAGTATGTCACACAGAGCCGCCTCTCTGAGAGGGGCTTCACTGGGGGAGCACAGTCCTGGACAGGCGGGAAGGGGGCTTTGATTCCTCCCCCCTCCCCTGCTTGAACTGAACAAACCTCTCCTGAAAGGAGGAGGAATGGGGAGGGGGACGAGGGGGAGAGGAGACAGGAGGAAGATGGGAAGGAGGAGATGGTGAGGGGGCCATCCCCCCAATGGCCTGTATGCACACCCTGCCAGTCCTGACTCGGCCGGAAGACACTGCCGGCAAGCACCTGTGCATCTGACCATGCAGATGTCGCACCCAGTGTCATCAGCTGGTCCGTGCTGGAGTCAGATCCAGGCCCCAGTGCTCCAAGCAGCTGAGCAAGGGGGCGAGCTGGGCACCAGAGGCGGGGAGGGCAGGAGCCAGCGCCAGGAAGGGAGACGCAATCATGGGAGGTAGTGTCAGGACTGCACGCCGCCCCCTGGCCCCCGGCAGGGACAGTGGCTTGGTGACAGACACCAGGCTGTGTCCTGTGCAATCATCACAGCAACAGTGGAAACACAGGGAGGAACTCATGCCCAGGTCACGTCCCCGAGAGACAGATTCTGGTTTCTGTCCCCAAAGAAATGACGCAGCAAGCAACTACCCCGGAAACAACCTCACGACACCTCGTCAGCTTTCAGCACGTCCTCTTTGCGCGGAAGCGTCCAGCTCGGAGGAGTCAGAGGCCAGAACAGAGGAAGGAAATGGAATCCTCTCCCTCAGGAGCAGGGCACCCAGTGGTGGAATCAGCTGGCTTCTCCACAGACGGAACGCAGTGCGTACCACCTCCTCCGCCTACAGGCAGTCAGTGGGACTTCTGTGACTGTGTCGCTGGGAAGTGTTACAACGAGAACTTCCAGTGAGATGCTTCGAAGCCTCAGAGCATTCTGGACATGCCTTGGGGCTGCAGCCCGCGCAGAGGGGCTTGCTCAGCCTCAGAACTGGCTCAGCATGACAGGAGTGCCCAGGTGCCGCTGCCAGCACCACTACGTGGATGTAACGGAGTCCAAAATGATCCCTATGATGGGCACTCTGCTAATTCAGAACTTACAGGGCCCGACAGGTCCACGCCCAAGCTCACCGATCCAGTCAGTAACAGGTTTCCTCCAGGAAAATCTTGGTCATCAATAAGATTCTGGCAGCAGCTAAGGCTTGGATGATACGTGGCTTCTGGCTTGAATGGCTCCCAAGCCCTCAACACACGTGGGAAGGGCAGCCTGGAGTGCATGAGGTAGGGGCCCTGGTACCCACCCCCCTGTGGGGTCCCAATGTCCTGACTGAGGGGGACAGGATCGGGGGCATGCTGAGAAGGCTCTGGGCACCACCATGGATGCAGCTGAGCCCCACTCACCCAACAGGGACCCCTGGCCACGTGTGGGTTCCCATCTTCCTCCTCTCTGTCTCCTCTCCCCCTCGTTCCCCTCCCCGTTCCTCCAGCCTCAGCCTGCTGACTCAGACCCGGAATCGGTGGGACCCCAGGGCCCCTGGGTCCCTAGGCCGCATCCTGGCAGGAGGAAGTACGCAGGTTGGGCCGGCCCCGGTGCAGACGACGGCTCGGATGGCAGAGCAAGCCCGCAGGCCTGCCTCTGCTGTCCACAGGGAATGCTGCCGCAGGGTCGATGCCCCTGCCCCGTGTCGGTTCCAGGTGCCAAGGGCCAGACTGATAATGGAGTCGGGATGTTTTCGAGAGCCTGTCAAACTGACAGGTGACCCTTCTTTCAGAGCCAAGTACCACCTCCCCTGACACTAAATCAGGCAGCAGCCAGGCTGGCGAGGGGTGACCTGGGCAGCGGGGCCGGGGGATGGGAGCTGGCCTCTGACCTTGACTGATCAGGATGCGGACAGCGTGGAAGGGACCTCCTGCCTGTGTGAGTAAGCAGGGGCAGAGGGCAGGGTTAGCACACAGTGCAGGGAAGCGTGTGCTCTGACCACCAGCCGTGGGACCTGCCTGCCCCTTCGCTGTGCTGCAGACTCTCCAGGGTAGGTGGCCCTGGCAGGGGGCTTCATGGTCAGCAGCGGGGGGGCTGGTGAACTCTGCCCCTGGGTGGGGGGCAAGGGGAACCAACAGCTGGGTCTGCCGCCACGGGGAAGCACCTTTAAGGAGCAGCGATGCCTGTGTGCCCAGCAAGGACCATGACAGAGGCTGCGCAGCTGGCGTGATGGGGAGTTTTACATACAGGTGCGTGGGACCTAGATGGTTGGTAAACCCCAGTTGAGATGTTGCCACGAAGGGAGTTTTTAGATGAGGTTAACACCGACATTAGTGAACTCAGGATAAAGTAGGCGGCCTTCCACACCATGGGTGGGCCTCATCTAATCAGGTGAAGTCATGAACAGAAACAGGACCCACCTGCCCCGAAGAAGTGGGAGCTCTGTCTCCAGGTGGCCCTTGGACTCTGGTGGCAGCATCAACCTTGTTGGGGCATCCAGCCTGATGGGCAGCCCTGTGGATTCCAGCCTCGCTGCCCACACGGCTGCAGGGACCAAGGCCTGACGACAGGCCTGTCCCCTGCCCCCAGCCCTGGATCTCTGGGGCACCTGTGCTCTGTGGCCTGTATTCCCAGGACGGGTGGCCGTGCCCTCAGAAGGCGGCATCAGGGAAAGGGCTTTCCCAAAACCCAGAACAAGTCATTTGTTCATGGGAACGTTTCTGTCATGCGAAGCCAGGCCACTAACTTCCTAATGTCAATAGTTAGGACACATGTCCAGGGAGATTCTAGAGCTGAGTGTGAGCGCATGACTTGGTACTTTGGTTCTGAAGAGCATTTGGATTTGGGTCCCGGAAGAATAAACATTTAGGATTGGCCTAAAGAAGTTGGGGGAAATAGAAAGAGCAACCTGCGCGCAGATCTTGAGCTATGTGACAAAGCAGGAGGTGATACAACATGAGGGATAGGAGAGACGGCCAGGAGCGGATCCTGCACTCGAGTGTGGCCTTTCACACTCATGCGCGAAGAACCCACTCCCCAGTAAGTACAGCTGAGAAGTGAAAATGAGGTGAACCCCCTACCACATAAAACAGTCGGATCAAAATCTAGATGTAAAGGGCTCCTTGGGGGCTCAGAGGGTCTGCCTTTGGCCCAGGGCATGGTCCTGGAGTCCGGGGATCGAGTCTCGCATCGGTCTCCATGTGGGGAGCCTGTTTCTCCCTCTGCCTGTGTCTCTGCCCCTCTCTCTGTGTCTCTCATGAATAAATAAGTTAAAAAAAATCTAACTGTAAAAAATAGCTATGAAATGCTTGGGAGGAAATATAAAATACTTGCTTATGTTGGGCTCAATTATCACAATACCCAAGCTATTTGGAAAAATCCAGGAGTCTTAAACAGTGAATACAGCTGCCGTACGAATGATTCCTACAAATCGGTGGGGGTAAAAAATAAAAGAAAAATTGTGCAGAGTACAATCAGGTAAATCACAGAAGACGACACACAAACCGAAGTGAGTTTGTAGAGACGTGTGACTTTGTCATCGTTACAAAATAAAAAATCAAGCATTGTTTTGCCTATGACGTTGGCAGAAGTTAAGAAGCCTGATGAGATCCTTTCTCCACACACCACTATTAGGTGTTTGCATTGGGAAAGCCCTTCTGGGGGGGTGGGGAGCTGGCAATGAAACACATGCTCCTCACAGACCCCACATTCCCTACGAGCCAATTCACAAAGATTACACACAGAGATAGCAACAGCGAACGAAACAGCCAACGAGCTACGTGAGGATATTTAAATGTCTCACATCATCGGCCGGGAGGTGGTCTCGGGGGTTCTGATGGGAGGAGAGACCCCTGTTCTGTGGTGACTTGTCTGGTGTTTTAGGGAAAATCACAGGACAGTGGCCAACAGCTGATTTCCTTCTGAAAACAACAAAGTCCAGTAAGAAATAAGATTCGAGCTGCTTGGAGCTGGTGTGGGGTGCCCGTGTGTGCCCCTGGGGCTGTGGGGGCCTGGGGCGGCCTCAGAGCGTGGCTGCTAAGCCCATCTCCTCTTTCTTTCTTTGGGTGCTTTTCCAATTCTTAAGAGGAAAGTGCATTTGCTTGCCAGCCTAGGCGGTGAGAAACCGACCCCAAATGAGCGGTGTGGACATGGGTCCCCCCCTTAGGGGCCGGGGGGATGAGTGTTGATGGCTCCACGTGGCACGGCAGATGCAGGGACTGTCCCCCCGAGGAGCCTGGTCCCCAAGGCTTTGCAGGTGTGGTTGCGTGAAAACAGGCTCTCCTGCTCTGAGGGAACGGCGGTCACCATGCTCGGGCCATGGCCCCAGCTCTCCAGCTGCCCTCCCCACGCTGGGGTCTCATGTCTCCGTGGCTCAGAAGCACACACAGTAAAAGCATGAAAGGGAAAAACCGACGCCCAATGCATTTTGGATTTTTTATTGTGTCATTTACTCCGAAGCAGCCTGAGGACCCTGGAAATCCCAGGACTTTTTGGTGGCGGCTGCGCCCAGTTCACCAGCACGCGGTCCCAGGACCCCTCCTTCCCTGTGAACCTTTCCAGCGGAAATGTGTCCCAATACTGCAGCAGGAGTCATGAGCGCTCACGCCCTGCCTTCTCACCCCCGAGGAATTCCAGCCGCGAGCTCACCCAGATGTCCGTGGGGCCTAGGCCTGGGCATGGGCCTCACCTGGCTGCTGGAAGCCCCGAGTGCCACCTCCAGGACGGGGCCAGGCGGGTAGGTGTCACCTCCGGAGACGTGGCACAGCTCCAGACACCCCTGAACAAGCGCCTTCTGCCCATCCCCGAGGTCCACCCATCTCACATTCGTTCAGGGAACCCGGCTCCACGCAACTTTCACGATGTTACTAATGACAACGACGCCTCCCTTGTGGGGCCTGGCTTTCCACCACATAGCTGTCAGAGGAAATGCCGAGGGGTCTCCACCCATGAGCTCCTGGGCCAGGGAAGGAGGTGAGATGGGAGGGGCCGAGGCCCGAGGACGCTAGAGCACCCAGCCTGTCCAGCCGTGGGACCCATGTGTCTCCCACACCTTGGAGGTTGGCACCTGAGACACTGAGGCCCCCTTCCTGTCCCTCTCCCTATCTTCTCAGTCTCCAAGACAGGTGAGACACAGCAGGACTGAAACGTGTGCCCCCACCAGTGCCTGGCACAGAGATTTCAAGGGCTGCCCGTGGTGGGGGGGACACTGCCATCTGGACCCAGGTCCCTGCGTAGGTCGTAGGAACGCTGTCTGTGCAGCACCCAGCTGGTGGTGCTGACAGGCCTCACCTGCCCTGCAGTGTCCCCTTCCCCACAGGTGCCATGCCCAGGCCGAGTGGCCTCTCCCCCTCTGCTCGCTTCTGCCCTGGTTGCTCCCCAGAGGAGGCCACCGGTCCAGACGGAGGGCTGAGCTCTGCTCAGGGGCTACCTGGCGCCGCATCTGTGTCCCGCCCCTGGGAGGCCGGCGGGTATGGGAGTGCAGCCGCTGGAGTGGTGACCAGAGAGCATCAAGTCCACGTCCCATTGTGGGGCAGGGACTCCCTGTCCAGGGAACAGGAGGGTGTGGTGGGCATGCACAAGACCTGGGGAGGACGGTCCTAAGTTGTTGGTGCATCTTCCTACAAGAGACCAGGGCTTTCATCTATGAAAGTTCGATGGCTTCCCTTTGCCCAAATTAGGACTCCAGACCCCACTGCCAGGAGCTCAGTGTCTGCCGCCCAAAGTCCCGGGGCTTCATGGCTGCTGGTGACGCTTCTTCCTGATGCACAAATTATTTGAGGCCGATCATCCTTTTCCTTGGGTGAGAAGGAGCTGCCTGTCCTGCAGGTCCAGGCTTCCTGCCAGGGCCTCCCGCCACGGCCACATGCTGGCCACCCAGCTCAACCCACCCCCTTCTTCTGACCAGCACGCACACCATCAGACGGTCAGGTGCCAGCTCCTTCCAGACAACAGCATCTGCGCATCCCTGCACCTCAGGCGGTGAGGGTCTGGGGATCCGCTGAGGACTGAGACTCAGTCTCGGGTAGGCCCATCCTACCCTGGGGTGGTGACCTGGTTGAGGGGCTGGAAATATGAGCTGCCCCCCCAATCACAAGGGTGAGAGGTTGTCGCTGAGATACCAATCGGGCCTGAGTGGGTGAAGCTCCCGGGCGACTCATCTGCCCAGGTCAAGGGGCAAAAAGGGCAAAGGATGTGGGGCTCTCAGGGGCGTCACTGATGATGTGATGATGCTCCTGCAGCCATGATGCAGGGCTGAAGATGGAGGCTGGCCTCTCCATGAGGGTCCTACCCCTTTGCCCCCTGAAAACTCCTACTTTGCCCTGAAAGCATCATGGCTTTGAACGGCACAGGGCACCACATGCTGGACGGGCCACTGCTGCACATAATCAGCACGCTGATGGGATGGGGGGGGCAGCCTGTGGCAGGGGCAGATGTGGATGGAGCCACACAGGCCTGTGCCCACCTGGCCTGGCTGCAGACAGTGCCCAACACGCTGAATGAGCAAATAAACACATGCCTTCCAGGCCTGGGAATACAGCTCCCATATAAATCAGAGGGGATGGCACATCCCATCACTTTCCATCAGAAAGACATGAATATCACCACCAGCTTCAGGACGGAGCCCTGGCCACTAGCTTCTCTGCAAGTGCCACGGCACTTCGCCTCCCCACAAACTTGCCTATCAACATGTGCGCCAAGCAAACCACTCTCCTCTCTGCTGATGGCTCACACATTTGACCAGCACAGCGGCATCACTCATAGGGTTTCAGCCCGGGTGTATTTACGCTCCTGACAAATGGTGCTGCTCCTCCACGAGCGAGTGGTATTCCTGGGCTGGTGGCTCCAGGTCAGCTGGGTGGTTAGTCCCACACTCAGATGTGGAGGTCACCGCCCTGGCCCTGGGAAGGCACAGAAGGGTCCGAGAGACTCCTGCTCTCAAAAAAACTAGACGTGAGCACACATTTTCCCGAAGGAGACATCAGATGGCCAACAGACACATGGATGGATGCTCAACATCTCTTAGCCTCAGGGAAATGCAGATCAAAACCACAGTGAGATCCCACCTCACACCTGTCAGGATGGCCAACATCAAAACCCCAGGAAACAACAGGTGTTGGGAGGACGTGGAGAAGAAGGAAGGCGCCTGCACTGTTGGTGGGGATGTAAAGTGGGGTGGCCTCTGTGGAGCACAGGAAGGAGGGGCTTCAGAAAGTTAGAAGTAGAGCTACTCTGTGATCCAGTAATCCTATGACTGGGTATCTACCCAAAGGGTACAAAAGATATGGATCCTAAGGGGTACATACACCCAAAGTCCCCGGGCTGATGAACAGAGAGAGAAGATGCGACACATACACACACACATGTGTCCACAACACACACACACTGGAACATCACTCAGCCGTGAGGAACAATGAGACCTTCCCACTCGCGACCTGGATGGAGCGAGAGGGTATTGTGCTAAGTGAAGTAAGTCACAGAAAGACAAATCCCACATGATCTCACTTGTGTGTGGAATGTAAGACGCAAAACAGATGAACAAACAAGGGGAGAGAAAGACACAACACAAACTCTTCACTCAGGATAAGAAAAGAAACAGCCCCACAGAGGATGCCCATCCTCCAGCTTCTGTGTAACATGCAGGAGCAGTGAGACCCTCGGTATGAAACTGCACGTGTGACGCGGAATCAGCAAACGGGCAAGATGTAGAATCAGCCCCCAGAATGTCTCACTGAGGACGCGGTCAGGCCCTGGGAGGAAGGGTGCCCGGGCTCAGCATCCCTGCCTCACTTCCTATGAGCGACAGTACTGACCTCATGTTTGCCTGAGTCACTGACAGAGGTTAAGAAGCCCAGCCTTGGAGCCCACCCCTGGGATGTCCGACAGCTGCCACCTGGCCACTGACCAGTGCTCGTTGGTCCTCCACCGGCTGCAAGGGGATGTGGTCCTACCCATGACTTTGTTTCCCTGCAGAACATAACAGCAGAGCTGCTGAGTGGGCCAGGGGTGAGGCTTGAGACCCGAAAACAGTGGAAGGAGCCCCCTGATGGGATGTATGCCCAGTGATCCCGTGGGCGCCCTGAAGGGACATATGTCTGGTGACCCCCTTGGCGCCCTGGGCCCCCTGATGGGATGTACGCTCAGTGACCCACTGGGTGCCCTGGGCCCCCTGACGGGACATACACCCAGTGACCCCCTGGGCTCCCTGACGGGACGTACGACCAAGGACCCTGTGGGTCCCCCGATGGGACGTTCATCCAGTGACCCCCTGGGCACCCTGCACCCCACGACAGGATGTACGCCCGGTATTCCCCTGGGCCCCCTGATGGAACATACACCTGGTGACCCCTGGGTGCCCTGGGCTCACACAGTTCTCCGAGTTCTCCTGCATGCCTGGCACAGGTGTTTCACTGGCTCACCTGTTAGCTTGAGCTCTCAAGGGTGATTTTCCAAATCCCTTCCCTTGAAAATGAACCATCCCCACATCTGTCCCTGTGTGGCACCC